CCCAAGAAGCCCCTTTTGTCCCCACGCGGAAAAAGCCTGTGTGTGCTCTTTCTATCTTGGCTAGCTAAGGTTTGTTGACTTTGGGTCTACATGACCTATTCGATCGGCTGAACTATGGTTGATGAGAGTTGGTCGGTTGATATAGTGTGGTTGTTAATCTTTGATATCTGATAAGGAGCTCCTAAGGCATCCATGGGATGGTTTAAGATGTTAAACTGAATCTTCTCTAAGATCAACTCTAGTGGAGCCGGGTCAGCTTTCCTGTAGTTTTTGACTCAGATGTTCTTTTATTGTCTTTTTTGGACGAATGACTCGGGCTCGGATCACTAGTTGTGCGCCTTCTTATTTGTTTCATGGCTCGCTTGGTTTTAGCTGTGTTGACTTGGCTCAGACAGCTTCGTTCGATCGGCCAAATAGACCTCATATCCTTCCAGCAATAAGCCAACCTTCATTGCTCGTCTTCTCGACCGTTGGATCTCTTCAAGATCCGTGCTAACATATTTTTTATGTACAATATATATATATATAATATTTAGATCTGGGTGGTATAAATGTAAAAATAAAATTTAGATGTTAAGATATGTAAATGAACAGGAATTGAGCGGTATGTACGTAAATGCCACCCCGCCGCAGAAATTGAAATTAAAACTAAAATTAAGACCCGCACAGAAAATATAAAACGCCAAAGAAAAGAAAAACTTTGGTATGCTACTCCGAGCTGCAGAAATCCTTTAAACTACATCATCATTTTAGTTATCTTCACTATAAGCTACAACAGTACCAAACCAGCCAAAAAAGGATGCAGATATCGCCGGTGCATCATTTTCCGACCACCGCCGGGAGATCAATCGAACGGCAGCTCAACGACGGAGTCATTAAGCAGATTGCTGTGGCGGAACCCGTATGCGCGGAGCACCTGGTCGTCCGCGAAGTTGAGCGCCCTCACCATTCCCTCATAGCACCTCTCGCCGGAGTAGATCTTGTTATGATTCCCGCTGCAGGGCTGGCATCCGGTGAAATGCGTAATAAACGGCCGCCGCCACCCCGGTGACGCCCCGATTGCAGGCGGAGGTTCATTCTCCCTGCTCTTCCG